ATATATACATGCACATACATACATATAATATATATTTTGTCTATATTTTCTCTCCAACAATTTTTAGACCAGTGCAATTTTATCTTGTGTTGGACGTGTCAAATATGACGAATCATGAAATGGAATTACACTATACGCAAAATAAATGTATATATATGGAAGGTAAAGAACCATGCAGAATTCCTGTTCCAGTTGACCGATGTCCACTTAATAAATTATCTATGGTAATAACGGAAATATCGCCTATTTAAAGACATATTGAAATATAATGTAAGAAATACTATTTTATTGTTTAGTTAAATGGTGCTGGTGATACAAGTGAACTCCAAAAAATATGTGCCGAACATATAGCTTCATTGGTTGATCTGCGCTGGCAATTATTAGGTACCGAATCGACAGGGAAAGCAACTCTCTCTGGTATTACTCTAACTCAAGATATGTTGGATCTAGTGAGAATGAGTCCTCTACAATGGGGTGCGTAAATACTGTTTACTATAAATATGTGTACAATAAAGTATGTGTACTTAAAATTACGAACATTTTCCAGAAATAACTATCAATGATATTATTGTAAAAGCACAAGAAGAACTGTCATGTGCTTTAGGTGAATGCATCAGCGTTGGTGTGGGAGTGTGCAATGCTCTGGAACATCCTCTGAGTGATCTTACATTGTCCATTAATTTCTATCAGGACCATCATAACGGCGTTAACAATTATCAATTAGAAACAAGGTTATCCATAGCTGGAGCAAATAAAGTTATGCTGCCTACTGTAAGTCACTCTTTTTCATAAATACAATATGTAGCTGTATACAGACGTCTTACATTCCCTATTTTATTATGAATAAATAACAGTTACAGGAATATGGCAGAGCTTATCATGAATGTCGTGTAGTATTTTTCACTTCTGGTCAGTACAAAATAGATATTCAATGCAGTAGTAAAGAATCCGCTCCAAACTCTCCAATACTTTATTCGGAGCTTATAAATGCAGGACATACGTGGCGTTATATACCGCCCATTGAAATAACTGTCGACGATTATTAATACTGATATAAATATAAATCACTGTCATCAGTAAATTGTAATATTTGTAAAAAAAACCGTATTAATTATATATGTAAAAATAAAGAATATTATATTTACTTTAATGAAATTAATAATTGTTATATAATTCTTATTGCGTGTGTTAATATAAATTGTTTACTTCTAACAATTTATATATGTATAGACTATAAAAAATATAAATATTATCTTTTACTTCTTTCCAACTTTATTTTCTTACCCAGAGGAATCATTTCCATCTCTTGTAAATTCCTCCTGAACTTTTTATAAAATTCTAGTACAGTTGTATTAGCCCATACCTGTTGGCTATTAAAATCTAAGACACGTAAACTTTGTAAACTCTGAGCTCTTGAAAGTGCTACATAAGATTGACCAGCATCAAATACTCTCGACAAGCACATTTCTACACAATCTAAAGTTAAACCTTGACTTTTGTGAATTGAAAAGGCCCATGCTAACTTTAAAGGAATCTGTTTTCGATGTAGAACAGCACCAGAATTAGTTTTGATAGCCCATTTTTCCATCTTTGCTTCATAATGTGTTCCTGATCGCAACTTAATTATCGGTATATCATTTTTAAAATCAATAACGACACCTCGAGCACCATTTACTAATCCACTATTAACATTTATATTTTTCATTAGCATAACTTGAGCGCCAACTTTCAATATTAATTTGCTAGGTATAGGCAGCTGCTGATCTAACATAGATGTTGCAGAACTATCAGAATCTAATGCTGTATATACTTTACTCTCACCTTTAAGTTCATTCAACTGAAATTCATTGATCTCATCAGCCTCTTTTACATGAGAACATAATCTAGTTGCTAATATGCCATTACTTTCAATTTTTTGTTTTGCAGTTTCCTTTAAAATATCAACAATATCATCTGTAACTCTACCTATCCTAATGCTATTTAATATTTTTACGAATGCCTCATCCTTTTGTCGATGGACAATTCGCAATTCAAAATTTAAATGAACACACTTTTGCCAGGCCTCGCTTTGAAAGCAAAATTTTGCTTTGTCATTAGTTTTAGAAACAGGAGGTAATTGAAAGAAGTCGCCACACAAGATTAATTGTATTCCTCCGAAAGGTCTTTCTGTCCTACGCACGTGTCTTGCCACTTCCTCAATCTTGTCAAAAAAATCACCGTCTACCATAGAAATTTCGTCTATCACTAAATACTTTGTTTTCCTCCAAGTTGAAGCTGAAGCTGGACGAGAGGCCAACTGGATGCATCTCTCCTTGGTGCCAGTGCCCATACCAATTCCAGCAAACTTATGCAATGTAATTCCACCTATGTGGCAGGCTGCTACTCCAGTGCTTGCTGTAGCCATTGTTACATCTGGAGGAAGGGCTGAGATTATTTTCTTTAACAGAAATGATTTTCCAGTGCCTGCACTACCGGTGAAAAACACGTTCTTTCCACTAAGCACTGCATTTAGGACTTGAGCCTGTTCCTCTGTCAGCTCTCCTGTGGTAGGATTCTCGTACAGTTTTTTTGCTGCAGGTACTTTAGGACTATCGTCGCTGAAATGTTTTCGCTTCCTGACTACGCTCGGCGATGGAGTAGTGATCGTTGCACGTGAAACAGCCATAGCTTTTTCCTTGGCTCTGTTGACCTCTGCATTGGTAGACGGACTAATATCTTCAGCACCACCCGGCTGTACATTTGCAAAGAGCTTCTCCCGCAAGGGATCCTTCATAGTCTTTACTTCTTGGCCTGTCAGCTTGATAAATATAGTCTTTAAAAAATTAATCAGCTGAGAAGAAGGTGCATTTGACAGAAACAATGTACAGTTCTGTTCCTTGAATTTGATAGAAGCTTTTCCCTCGGTCATGAATTTATTAAATACCGATATACCTTTCAGAGGTAACTTCGTGAGCACGTTCGCCTTCTCAGCGCGTACCTCTACGAGCATCTCGCGCTGACGATCTCGAATTAGACGTAGCGACGCCGTTCTGTGAGTCATTTTTCTCAGAATCACTCCTTGTGCATTCAACCATTCCAGGATAATGGTGCAAGTTAAGGAGCAATCATCGGAATCCATGTTCTCACAAGTATCTATAATATTAGTCCTAGTAAAGCAGAGTTGGCTTGATGAAAATGCAATAATTTTAATGATAGACACAATATCTTGTAGAAATTTGTTACCTGTTTACGACCTGTTTACGACATCAATACAAGCAAGCAGCGCAAAACCATGTGAAATGACAAACGGCGAATGATAATAATAAACCAGAAAGCGCGCGTAACATGCGCCAGAATGCATAACTTTAGAAATTATAGGGACCTAGTGGATATTTTCTTTCTAGATATAACTAGAGAGAAACCTAGGGATCGATTCTGTATCTTGAAACGAGGTGAAAATTATCAATATAAAAGTGAGTAAATTTACTAGGTGTTGACCGATGAAATTATCAGTATTCTAGTAAATTTGTTCACTTTTATAATTTGATGCGCATGTTGCATTATTTGTCCTTGTTATTCATCGAATGTTAAACAAGGATAAATGATACATTATGCACACCGTGCAAAATGGAACGCAGCAACAAGGTATGCAACATTCAATGCAAAGCATGAAACAATAGATAAATACAATATTTACAAAACATTGAAGGATGACTTTATTAACTTTATTCCATAGCAGTCGACAGAAGTCGATGTTGAGTATATTGATAGTAAATTCAATATGGCAACTACTACGAATTACTCCAGCCAATCAGAAATATATCACATGACATTTAGCAAATCTCTGTTAGGCGCACAATAAAAGGAATAGGGAACAGAGAACATAAGAATTTCAATCTATCAGAAATCATGTATTGTGAAATACATAGTTTCTGATAGGTTGAAATTCTTATTTTTTATTCTCTACTCCTTGTTCCTTTTATTGTGCGGAACCTCTCACTATAGAGTGCGTTCGTTTATGCAGATACTGCCGCAGATGTCATTTGTTTTATTCTTCTTGCGAAGACAACTGCAGCGCATTTGTCATTCATTTACTCAGAGATGTATATACCATCTGCGCAGCTATGTCGAAGGTCCTGGAGGTCAATTGTGTATCTTAAAATAAGGTGAAAATTACAAAAATGAACAAATTCATTAAAATATTCATAATTTAATTAGTCAATACCCAGTAATCATTGCAGTATACTGGCAGTACTGAAAAATTGTTCTATTATCACGCAGCGCGCTGTGACAGCGTCTAATTTCCTCAATGACGTCATAAATGATAGTCGTATTGCCATTGCGACTACTGCAGCTTTCGAGGTGAGGCAGTTACAGTGCAATATGGCTTAAAGAGACAACGTCGAAATATTCGATCCAGAAAGTAAAAATATATATATATATTATATTTAATTCCAGAAAAGATGCATATATATATTCATTTTATCGAAAATTTTATCGAATGCTCTTAAATTCACATCTGAATATTTATTAACTGTGTCCATATAGGGTGTTCCCATTTACTGATTTCCAGTACAGTATCCAGTAGCTGTCATGTTGTGTTACTGGGAGAAGCGTTCTCTTTCTCTAGTAAAAAGTTTCAATAAAAACATAACCTAAATTCGTACACACTTCGGAAAACCGTTTTCTCGAGCGTGTTTATATATTTGTGAATTTTGCAATTAAGCAGAGAGGTATTGTATTTTTCATTTATTTCAGTTTTGTTATATTTTTTATTTAATTAGTTGATGCTGTATTATTAATTATTTTCATTGTTAGTGGCTGATTTCCTGTAAGTTGTAATTCTTAGAAGAGAAGTATATCAAGCAGAATAGCAATAAACAATGACGCATTGATTGCAATTGCTAACGATGTTTAAATTCGTCTGATAAGTGATTCTGAGAGCGATGCATATAGATGAATTGTTATTATTGAATATGAATCCAATAATTTGTGGCAAAAGGCCAAGAATACCTCTCAGCTTAATTGCAACATTCATGAATAAACATGCTCTAGAAAACAGTTCTTCGATGCACAAATTTAGATTATGTTTTTACTGTAACTTTTTACTAAAGGAAAGCTTCTCCCAGTAACACAATATGGCAGCTATTGGATACTGTACTGGAAATCAGCAAATGGGAACACATTTTTAATATGAAATCAAACTGCTTTGGAATTGATAATCCCATAATTAGTTTATCTTCTTCGGAAGAACTATCGTTGCTGTTTTCGTTCAAAATTTATTGACAGTTTAGTACGTTTATCCATGTCTGTTTACACTGCCAGTCTACTGCAAAATCATTCCGAAATACGTTACAGTAATACTGGCAGTACCACAGTAATTTTGGAACGGTTACGGCAGTACACTGTTGTGACGTCATATGGTTGCACTGCCAGTAAAAAGGAAACACACCCTAAGGATTGGTTATTTTACCTTTTGGTAAATTTTACCTGTTGGGTAAGTAACAAGATTACCCAATCACATGTGTGGACTGCCAGATTTACTTAATAGATAAAATTACCAAGGAACAACCGGGCCTAAAATTTTTAGGAATTTCAAGCAATGCGACAGACCTATTGTTATTTTTTACGCCATTTTTACATTAAACACGTTCTATGTATACATACACATACACCCCTCCCCTCCCACATACACACACACATTTATTTATTTATATATGCTTTTCAACTTTGCGTCCATTTGAAGTAGAATAATTAATCAACAATAAAAATCTTACAGAAGTATAATTTGTGTAGTTACACAAAATAACAGCGAGAACTTAGTTGCGCACCTAATATAAAATAACGAGGTCGAAAATGACAAAAATATCAATTAATATTCGACATCGATCATCCATCGATATTGAATCTATTTCTATTTGCATCCAGAATGTTATCTGATATATGTCATATCTTGCTGATGAAACACCAGGAAGAGCGCGAAATCCATTAGTTAAAAATCGCACTCCAATTGGAGTATTCGTTGACCAGTATCTTGACTAGAACATTTGGAGTAAGCAAACTGTTATTAACACTCATTCGAAATAACTAGAGTTAAATATCAGTTAGCAAATTTTTTTGACATCATGGTCCTGATACCAAAAGAGTCTGCGAAGCTAGTCGCCAGCTTGGCGAAGGATGTATTCATCGAGCAAGTAGGTGTAAAAAAATTGGCATTGGCGATCCTTGATAGTTTAAAGACCGGTAAGATCCGCAAGGGCAATTTTTCGCAAATCAAATTTCACCCTAAGCCCGACGATTCCAGGGCGGCGGACTGGATATTCGTGCTGGACACGTTGAACTTCTCATTTTGGACCGAGACGGATACGAAAAAGTGGAATGTCAATGGAGAGACCGGCTACTTTGCGTTCTGTGCCGCTGTCAGTCGAGCCATTGACGAAGGGAAACCTATGTGGGATCCCAAGTATTATTCGCAGATAACGCAACAAGATGCAGACATCATTTTTCGAGGTGACAACGAAGTCAAAATTCCACTTATACATGACAGAATTAAGGGCCTGCATGAGGCTGGAAAGGTTCTATTGGACAAGTATAAAGGCACGTTTGTGGAATGTATCAAGTCGTGTAAAGGTTCCGCAGAAAAGTTGCTCCAACTAATCGTCAAGGAATTTGAGTCATACCGAGATGAGGCTTATTACGAAGGGCATAGGATCAGCATTTATAAGAGGGCTCAGATATTGATCGGCGACATCTGGGCCTGCTTCGAGGGACGCGGGCTCGGCGAATTCCATGATATCGACAGCATCGCAATGTTCGCCGATTACCGAATCCCTCAAGTGCTTGTACATTATGGCACTATGCGCTACAGTGACTCGCTCATGAGCAAGTTGAAATCCGACGAGTCGTTGAAACAGGGCAGTAGGGAGGAGGTTGAGATACGTGCCTGCTCAATCGAGGCGGTCGAGCAGGTGCGCGACGAAGTGCGAAGATTAATTGCAGCTGATTCGAAATTGGGCCTGAATCCGTTGACGGATGTCAACGCGATCGTGATCGACCATTACCTGTGGGACTATCGGCGAGAGTATGCGCAAGAATTGGAGCACATACCATTCCACAAAACAAGAACCATTTACTACTAGTTACTAGAGAATTGCGCAGGATGCAAAAACATCCTAAATGAAAAAATTATGAAGTTCCATATATCAAATTTCAAAGAAACTTAATTACATCTGTTCCTTCAATATTCAGCTATATTTTATTATATTTTCTATTGTATTACGTATAAAACAGACAGTGACAGAAAATGGAATAAAGTTTATTACATGTTAGGATAAGTTCTTTCAAATATATAAAAACTAATTAGATAATTATTGATAAAATATTAAGATATCACATATGCGATGTGATATATAAGAAAGACAAGAATATAAGATAGAAAGACAATTTACTGTGATTACACTAATATATTTACCATGATTTGCAATAATATATTTGATGAAGATATTTATATAAATTATCTAAATATCTTTATAAAATATTATAAATATTATAAATATTATATTTTTCAAATATTGTTACAAGATAAATAAGTTATTTAATTACCAAACAAGTAAATTGTTTTATTAAACTGTCTTCTGTTTTTTTTTGTTATAACAGGAATAAAAATTATTAAATTGCAAATTATTGATATACTATAATCATCTTATATTTTATCATAATTTTATTATGGAAGTATTTTTAGGACTTAGCAGAAAAATACATTGTTCATGTCTACAGTTTCTTATAATATTATTCGTATAATTGTTATTTTTGAAAAATCAATTTTTTGAAATGATTAATACCGTTTAATTGCATACATTAAGAAATAAAGCTAATAAAAATCTATATGTACATTTTAACATGGTCAAATGGATTGTATCTCTTACATTTGTATGATACAAAAACAAAATATAGAAATTTCTATTATCTAGATATAAGAATTGATGGAATGAGATTATATAGATTATATAAAAAAATACTACTTAAAAATGGTTTAATTCGCAATATGCATCATATACAGATCAGAAATTTCTTTCAAATATCGGCAATCATTTCATACATGTATGTGGCTATTTATTAAGTTTATAATAGATTTCATTAAATTAAACAGAATTTCAGTTTTGTTCTTCTAATTCTAGTTTCACATGTAGATGAAATTAAACCTGAAATACAAAAATAGATGCAATTTTGTAATGCAAATGTGTATCACATAAAAAGTAGATTTTTTAAACACATACCTGCACAGAGACTGTGGTAAAGATGAGATTATAGGACCGTAACCTTGTGAATTATCATACAATTCAAATAAAGGTGCAGCGACTAACTTATAATTTTTCGGTACAGCAAAGAGAGCTAAATATAAAAATAACAAGAGAGTAAATATATTTATGAGATTAATTAAATACGTGCCGAAACTTGTCGTTATACCTTTCTCTTGCAACTGTACGAGAAATAGTCTCTTGTGTTCTTTCGGTTTTGTAATGTGTGGCGGCACGTACGGATATTGAGGTGGTTCAAAGTTCGGACGCCACCAATTTCCAATTGTATCTTCTATAACCCATTCTTGCTTTACTCCGTCCTGCCGTCCAAAGGTCTAGAAAGCAATCCCATTTGCTGTTTAACATTGTACTATATTGAGTCTCAAATAAACTATGATGAGAATAAAATACATTCTTCTCTTTTGTCAGTCTACTAAGAACATGGTTGCACAATATTTATTATATTTTGATATATGAGACATTTGCGGCGATCACTTAATAGCATCAATTCTAACAATATTCAGGTTTATCGACGATTGACATGTAGCTATAAGTCTTTTTAGAATAAAAAAAAACTATAGATATTCAAGAACACATGTACATTTTCTTTCACCTATGGTATCAATATAGTGTTCATATGAATACCTAATAAGTAAAATCGTTATATAAGCTAATAGTTTTAGTAAAGAATATAACAGAGATCAATACAAATCTCAAGTTTATTAATTGTCTTGTGATCTGACAATTGCGAATGAATTCGTAGGCCTACATATTGTGCCGATCAGATAATTTTCTCTTACAATAAAATTCTAAACCCTATTCGGTATATATAATCGGTTTTCTGAGCTTATAAATTTAAAAAATTCGCGATTTATATACATTCTTCTTGTCACTATTTTACATTCTTGCATTTTATCTTGTCTCTTCTGTATTTCTCTCTGTGCTAACACATACACTATCGAAATAAGAACAATGTTCTTAGCCAACCAGATACAATAACGTGCGATATCTTTCAACATCGAAGTGTCCGGGCATGCAGCACGCCAAAAGTACAAAATATTATAAGAATAAAAGAACAAGCCCCTATGTGGAGCTACAGGCCCGGTTACATGAGTTCTACAAACGTTTGCAGGGTTTATACAATAATCATGATGTTTATAGAGACAATGTTACAATCTAACGATATAAAAGTGCCACTCCTAGCCAGCCTGTAAGGCAGCGTAAGGCGTCGTGTTAACTGTTACCTCTGTAAGGAGCCGTTTTAGGCCCTCTACCTCATCTTCTCCTGTATTGAGTTCTCCGCCAGGTCTGGAATAATAAAACAGGAAATGTACAAAATTCAGTTATTAAGATGAATAATTTTTTTAAATACATAATTTATAAATTCTCGAAACTTACAATTTGAAGAATGTTGTGCCAAGTTGCAGAAGAAGAACGTGTGGAAGTCCATGCTCATGTACCAGTAAGACACCTTCTACGCTTCTCCGCATGCCGATCTTGTCGAATTCATCTCTCATGCGCTGAAACCTTGCTGGTACTGATGGATCTTTCTCGAAGAGTGGCTCTTTTGTTCCAAATGTATAGTTTGTCAAAGGATATCTATGATAAATGAGTTGTATTCTTTTGTTAGGCTCCTGTATATGTTTAACTAATCCATCAGTAATTAAATCCAGTTTCTTCAAATACAGCTTGATGCGATATTACAATATTTAATTACAGAAACTACATAAATATGCACAGTGTAACAATTTAAATTTTCTCGCTATTTTCATATTTCAATATTAGCAGTATTTGTTTCTTTTTTTTAATTTAAGCAATAATATATGTATAAACAGAGTGGTCCTTATTTTTTGAATTTTTTCTGCCTCACTCCTTAGAATAATTCTACAATCCCCAAAAAAATAATTTCTGTAAAATTTTAGCTTGGTCGAATATTAGCAATCTATGCGTCTTGCTTTTCTACATCATTTGAAACTCCATACGTTTCATTTAGAGCTACTTCGACCAACTCTGATGAACTTTAATCAACGGTTAATCGTTAAGCGAAATGACAAATGCGATTAGTCAATTTTAATGGATTAACCGTCAATTAAAGTTAATCGGAGTTGGTCGAAGTGGCCCTTAAACAATTAGGTGAACTGTTAATGTCTGAAAAATGAGAAAAGGAATTATTGCATTGTTTGCTTATTTAAGCTAGAAAAAATTGATCCATGGACTAAAAAAGTGTTGCTAGTATGTTTAAGGACGAAATTAGTTTAAAATATGATAAATTTCATATTTTTATTAATAAAGCGATTTTTTATATTTTATATTACATAATAATTAATAATTATATTATAATCATATTATATTATATTATATATTATATTATAATAGTTATTAGTCATTGGCACCACCTTGAATAATTTCAAGTTACTAAAAAAAAAATCTGTGTAATTTTAATTCAATTCAATAAAAGAAAATCGTGTTCATAGTTGTTTTGAATTTTATAAATAGTTAAATTTAAAAATCACTCATTAAGAAATCCGTTACATTATTGTCATTATTTCATACGTTTCTTTTTTAACAAGGTAAGATTCTCTCTTAGATTTATGTTGAGATTTTCACTCAAGTACCTTCCAGGTATTATTAAACTTTGTTAAACAGTGAATAAGGATAAAATAATACCTGTATGGCATTGAAGTGAGAATTTAAACACAGCCTTCGGAAAGCATTCCACATGGTTTTTAGTCAACAAGATAAGATCCCTCTAGGAGGGGATCCCCTGGAAGAGGATCTTACATTGTTGAATAAAAAACATGTGGAATTCCTTTTGAGGACTATGTTTAGATTCCCATCCAAGTGTCATTCAGTACCCTGACTCTGTAATTCTTAGTCTAACAACAGTGTCGGTATCGTTATACTGTCATAGATATAAATAAAAAAAAGTTGCGTAGCGACAATATATCGATACTGAACTATCGTTAGAAGTTACAGAATCGGTAAATGTCATTTTATCTTTATTGTTCACTGAATGTTAAACAAGCATAAAATATTTAGGAAGCACTTAAGTGGAAATTTGAACATAATCCTAGGAAGGGATCATATATAGAGATCATATATGATTGAATTGAACTAAAGTTTCACAGATTTTTTTATAGGGACTTGGAATTATTCAAGATAGTACCAATGACTAATAATTACGATTATAGTATAATTATTAATTATTATGTAATATAAAATGTAAAAAATCGCTTTATTAATAAAAATATGAAATTCATCATGTTTTAAACTAATTTTGCCCTCAAACATATTATCACTTTTTCAGCCCATGGGTGAACTTTTTTTGATTTAAATAAGTTAAAAAATGTAACTATTTTTCTCATTTTTCAGACATTAACAATTCACCTAATTGTTTAAATAAGACGTATGAGTCTCAAACGATACAGAAAAGACACACACGCACGCATTATAAAAAATATATACAGAGTGTCCCGTAAGTTTTTACCAATCGCTTTAGCGTAGATAGAGCACATTAAATTGAGTCGAAAAGTCCTCTACCATTTTGCAATTTTCGCAATGATTAACGCGATATTATTACTAAAAGTTACTAAATATTGGTTTTTAATAATTTTTTACTCAAATAATTTTATAGAAAACTTGCAAGAGACAAAAATCATTTATTTTTTTCTCTTAGAACTCCAAGAATTTTTTCAGAATTTTTTATTAACTTTTAGTATTACATTTTCTTATTTTTTACCAACATGAGAAAATATGGTATTAAAAAATTCTGAAAAAAATTCTGAAAAAATTCTCAGAACTTTATGAGAAGAAAATAAATAATTTTTGTCTCTCGCTGTTTTTTTGTAAAGTTGATATTTGAGTAAAAAATTATTAAAAATCAATATTTAGCGATTTTTAGTAATTAATATCTCGTTAACCATTGCGAAAATTGCAAAATGGTAGAAAATTTTTCGATTCACTATGTACACAAAAGCGGTTGGCAAAGACTTACGGGATATATATATATATATATATGTGTGTATACATAT